TTTGCTGTATTAATGCCCCCTAATGATGGATGGGGGGGGAGAGATTGTTTGAATAAGGCCACAACAATCAAACACAAATAATAATACCCAAGAAAAATCAGGTTTTCTAATGTTTATTGTATTATATAACATATTAGAACAAAACATTGAGCATTCAACAAACATATTGAAAACGATAGCTGTTTACAATGAATGTAAAAAATATCAAATATTTTTCAAAGGGAAGCGCATCATCACACGTTGGCGCACTCTCAGGAAGGTTCAGAAGAATGTGATGGAAAACAGCCAAAGTGGTTCTGCAAAGTTAATGTCCACTTTCGCTGGCAAAATTAGGAAGGCCTTCACCATATGTTTGTTGTGTTCCTATCCACATAGAATATCTAAAAAATAATTTTTTTACCTTTAAGATATCTCTATTTTGCAGGCCCTTGCAAGCTTTTCTCAATTGCAGTAACAGGAAATTCTAACTGTCCTAATATAAAGTCCAAGAACAGATTAAGCCGAGCTCCTCATTACTATACAATGAAAGAAGCCAAGCTTCTAGCTCTTTAACCCTTTGTTAGGACAGACCGTTCAAATACTGTAGTTTACAACTGATAAATTAGATCTGCCAGCACAGTGCAGACAGGGTAATTTAGGGTACCTCTGGATATATTTTGTGCAAATGCTGTCCTTTGTGGATGATATGCACGTATTCCAGAGAGAGTGCTTCAGTTGAGGAGAGGAATGCTCCTTTCCTGGATCCGAACAACCCAACTGCAGCTTTTCTCCACAGCCTATATCATGTAATGCAGAAAACACCAGATCACAGGGTAGTAGACAAACACTTTCCAATTTGTTGTGGCTTGTAACAGATGAAAAGACTAATTGTCCACTGCCAGTGTTCTTTGGGGATCCTCCATAGAGACAGTGGGGGTGATTTACTAACCTAAACACACGCATGCACCAGGTGCGTGTGATTTTTACACAGCAAAACATTTATCAACCAAAAAGTCTCTAAAAGCATATTTCCACTAATGCCATATATGGAAAAATCATGCACATGATGCATATATAATGCATATATAATGCTGCTTCACAGTTTAGGCAAAAATGGTTAGCTCATGCACTTACATTCCTGCATTCATCAACGCAAGCAACACAATGTAGAGCTAATTTACACAACATCACCTTGCAATTCATGCAGGGCTTTGCACAACACACCTGATGGGTGTGTACACACTACAAAGGTGTCTAGATTCCACCAATAGATCATGCTGGGAGGGAAAACACTACAGAGGTGTATACTTGTTCGTGGTGTGTTTATAAAGGTTAGTAAATCAACCCCAGTATGTCTATTTTACCCATTCCCACTCCAGCTTTCTCATAAGTAATGGCCAAAACGATCCTCTTCAGCCACCATCTGCAACCCCATCTCTGGCAGCCTGCTCCCCTTTCTATGGCAGCAAAAATCCCAATCCCTTCCATATTCTCCTAATCCTCCCTGCCTAGTTCCTCCCAACTCCTCTCCCCCTACCTATTACCAAAACCTATGAAACTATTTTTTATTTTATGGGGGAAGTGCTACAGTGGTGCTAGGGGAATTTCTGCTGGTGCTTAAGTACCATCATATATCCCCCTGATGCCACCCCTAGGAGTGGTACAGAAAGGGATGGGTGGGGGTAGGAGGTGTTCTGTAATCCAACAGGCAAGGCTGACAACACTGGTTGGGATTTCAGTTTGGCAGAGGAACTGTGCTGTCAGCCCAAACTGGATTTTAGGCAGATCAACAGGTATCTGTCTCTACTTGCAGCATTTATAAAGGAATAAAACTTGGGGAGGGCTGGAATCATGGAGATTAATGATCTCCTTTAAGGTTTGTATGTTTGCATTTTGCAGGGAACCCAGACCTCTTCTAATGGAGCATTCTGTTTTTCACTTTCACAGTTACTGTAGAAGCTCCGGTCCGTTAAAGAAAATGTTGATTCATTGAGGAGAGTCCATAAACTGGCTGCCATTGGACAAAAAACCCCCCAAAACTCTCCCCAATAAAAAAAAAAAAGTCAGTTTTCAAGTAGTGTGTTGTGAATCAATTACATGAAATTGTACTTTTAAACAAAAAATTACACCAGTTAGTAAAGCTGGCAATATCTTCCTTTGTTCAGCTTGCGGGCTAAAGGAAAAAACCCCAAAACATTCATCCATCTACACAAAAGGTTTGATGATCAAATTTTCCATGACAGATAATTGTAAGCTGACAGTTGCAAACTGTCAAGAGAACACAAACATTGACTGTAGCTGTTTGGCTGCAGACACTGTCCAGCTGACAATTTTCTGCCCAGTTCCTTTGACAACATTTAATTGCATAATCGACTTTTCAAGCCAGAAATGCCATCCAGTGTTATAATTTCAATTTACAAATTCTAACAGTGTCTGCCCAGCTTACCTTTGTACAGCTATATAGAGCAGAAACTAAAAAACTGAGAGTATACACAATGAACTAGATAGGGTATTCAAAAAATTGTGAGCATATTTCTCACAAATAGGCATGGCAGAGATGTTTGGCCGGAGACCAGACTAGCATACAGAGGTGAATATAAATGTCTTCTCTTCCTACACGCTTACACACTGCACGTCTGCCCAGCTGCAAGGAATCTAGGAAGAGAAATATATAAACATGTGTACAATTGTTTCTAAACATCTGTAAATATGAGGGTGTTATGTGGCAGGGAAACAATTAAGCTAGGTTATAATTGGTTTAATTAAGATCTGCTCCATTTCAAATGTTTGACTATAGTTGCACAAGTTAAATGCTATCAAATACATGTTATGTGCACCCCAAACCACCAGGGACATATAGAATTTTTTTTTACCTGCATTGCATGATTGTTGTCAGCCGTGGAGGTAGCTTCTTCAAAAGATAGTAAAAAGTAGCTACCATCATTCTGGTAAAATTATAGAACGTCTCGGCATTCGCATAGCGCATCGACGTGAATTCCTTACATGGCCTCTTCAGAAGCAATAGTGTCCAATACCTGTCACGACGTTTTTGCATTCTATTCCGCCTTCTCCTGCTCAGATAGCCATAACAAAACATAGGTCGAGACGAAATGTGGATAACTCCATGATGTTAGACACACAAAACAGTGGTAGGTACACTTAGAAAAACACTACCGCAATCCCCAATAGTATAATGCGGTTTGGAAAGCACAATTCATGTTGGGTGAAAAATCAAGAATCCTGTCAACGGATGTCTAGGTCCAGGTAAAAAAAACCAAAAGGTTTGCATCCTTTTCTGTTTTTGCGGGCCTGGATGAATGAACGGATGTAAATTGATGTAAGCCGACATTGTCAGTTTATGCCCAGTTAAAGCTTCTATTATAAACTTTTTTTCTACTTTTGCTCACTTTCACTTGAGGTACAGGGAGGGGGGGGGGGGGGGGGGGGGTCAATGCACATAATATTCTTTGCATCCGCTTTGTGCAGCATTCATGGCCAGGGATGTCACTGAGACATTCATTTGGTCCATGGCAGCTCAGGCCTGTGGAACTCCTGTCTGCCATAGAGCCATAGGGTGGAGAAGGAGAGGCTGTGGCAGGAGGTGTTCCAGGCTGTGACCTCAAACTGGGCAACCCTCACTGATAAATAGCAGCAAAAGCTTTTGTCCTTTAATAAACCAGAAAAAAAAAATGAACACGTGAAAAACGGATGTAAGTGGATGGAAAACCAGACTTGCACTGAACTGAATTGATGTATAACCAAACTGAACACAGATGGGCATGCTAATGAAAACTAATTTGGTATTCATCAGTTTTTTTTTTTATGCAACTGAACTGATGCCACCCGTGTAAGGCCACTTTCACACAGCCGGTCTGATCGGGTCTGCCTGTCCATTTTTCAAGCTGACCTGATCGGATGCCCCAGGTGCCCATACACCTTACGATTATCGGCCGAAACTTTTCTTCAGATGATCGAATAGTCGTACGATTTCCGTACGGCAGCCCCATCCTGCCCCGATGATCGCAAGATGAATTTAGTCGTAATTAACGAAAGGCACCTGGACGAAATGCGGTAATTGATTTGCTGTATTTTCGTTCGCGCAAGCGCAGTGTAGATCGTACGACTTTTGACGGACGGAAACGCCAGCAACCTTACAAAAATCGTACAATCTAGCAAAGTTTTCAAACATGCTTGACCGTCAAAAGTCGTACCATTGTACAGTACTGTCGGTCGCACACTGCAATGGACACATACGATTGTCGTACGAAAAGTCGATCGCATACGATTATCGTACGATAAACGTAAGGTGTATGGGCACCTTACGATTATCGGACAAAAAACTTTTGCCCCATCCTGCCCAGATTATCGAAAAGGTTCAATCAGCGGTAGTTAAAAAAAACACCTGGACGACTTGCGGTAATTGACCGCAATTATTTTCGTTTGCGCATGCGCAGTGTTAATCGTACTACTTTTGACGGACGGAAACGCCACCAACCATGCGAACATCGTACGATCCACCAAAGTTTTCAAACATGCTTGACTGTCAAAAGTCGTACGATTGTACAGTACTATAGGTCGGGCACTCTGTTCACACGTTACGATTGTCGGACGAAAAGTCGATCGCATACGATTATCTACGATAATCGTAAGGTGTATGGGCACCTTAAGTCTATAGGCAGCAGAGTGTAAACGCACAGGCGTCTATTTACACCCGGTTACCCCCGGCTCCAGTCAGCTTCAGAACAACAAATAGATCAACAAAAGAGATGTGTTTCACTGGACCGGATTGGGTATAATCTGATAATGGACACATGTCTATTTACATGCGATTCCCCATAGACAGACATGGGGTCCAGCAATTGCAGTTTTTTCTTCCATCGCTAGAGCAAAAAACTGTACGGACAGAAAATGTCACAGTGTGGACATCCCCTCCGTACTGCTGTGATCACACGGATCCTCTCCTGATCAGCCTGCATGAAAGGGGCCTAAAAGGGGCCTTGGATTACAATTCAGCTTGCTACTCTCTCCCAGGGTCTTCTGTAGCTTGTCATGCTTGGCTTTTAGTTTCGTAATCAAATTTCGTCCCTCCAGGAATTCCTTCATCTTCTACAAAAAAAACAGTAAAATTAATCAGTAAGACCCACCAGTAGAACACAACCAATTCCTAGTTTAGCCCAAAGTTTTAAATGAGATCCAGAAAGTTCAATTTAATTTCAAAACTCAAATATACTCACAAGAATTGCATTTCAATAAGATGAAGATATTTACTACTCCAAAGTATGTGACAAATATTAAATCTTTATTGCATAAGGAAAAAAACATGCTAGAAAGTATGGCAAATCTTGCAGCTTAAAGAAACTCTTTCAGAAAAAAATATGTATTAAAAGCCATGCCATAATATTATCAGTAGAAGAGGAAGATAAATACTCCCCTTTTCCGATGCCTGAACCACCACATGCTGCTCCACTCCTGAGAGCCTCTCCCTCAAAGTCCACTGCCATACGGACACTTCAGGGAGTGTTCTTGTCATAGGCCCCCCACAGCTTTCCCTGGTTCCTTCTGCTGACCACCTTGTCACTACAGGATACATTTATTGATTTATTTACCTTTTTCTTTCACAGGTAACAAGACCTGCAACACAGTAACTTAGTGGTTAGTACTTCTGCCGTGCAGCATGGGGGGTCCCCAGTTCGACTCCTGGCCAGGACACTATCTGCATGTTCACCCCGGGCTTGCGTAGGTTTCCTCCGGGAGCTCCGGTTTCCTCCCACACTCCAAAGTGTGGTAGGTTACTTGGCTCTTGTCTAAATTGGCCTAATGTGCATATATATGTATGCATGTGAGATCGGGACCTTAGATTGGAAGCTCCTTGAGGGCAGGGATTGATGTGAAGGTACAGTTTGTAAAGCGATGCATAAACTGTCTGCGCCATATATATAGCTGTAATAAAATACTTATTTTATACAACAGGGATGCTTTATGGCAAGAGGCTAATCACAAAGAAATGCAGCAGGGAAATCTACATCCATGAAACACTACAATAATGGCTTAAAAAACAGTAATTAATAAATTCCTGCTATAGAAAAAGTAACCTCTAGGATCCAGTTTAATTTGGGAACCATATTGAGATATAAGCATCACTAAGCACCTTTCCTGGCAGTGCAAAGAGCAATGATCGTGTACAAAGTGCAACAACCCATAGCTATCAAATTTCATGTCAGAAAGTGCACCACTGAAGTATTTGAATAAACCACCACTACAGTGTGCATTTGGCTGAAGTGTATTTCCACTTTTGCACCAAAACTAGGAGAACGCTGACTTTATATTTTTAGGGAGAACTTAGGCAAGAGAGAAATGTGTGGGTACCACAAACTGCTAAATCAAAAAAAAGAAAAAAAAAGCCAACTTCAACAAGCTGCGCTCTTTACTAGGCAATACTGTGACCAAATATTATTAACATTGAACACAAATGATAGTGGGAGTGCTTTAAGGGTGTGTTGAATATTAGCGCATTCATCTTTGCATGCCACTAAACAGCAATTATAAGAGAATATTAAACTTATGTGGCTCAATGCTACTGCCTTCAAAAAATGCAAAATGGAAGGGACAGCCTCAGCATTTAGAGGTGACACTGAATGCTATAGGAAAGGAGTACATTCATGAGTCATTAACTGCCGCCCGGCTTCCTGATTGGCTGGGAAGCAGGCTCCATGTTCCCTAGCAGCACTGCCGGTCAGAGGAAATCTTTCACTGACTGGAGCTTTCGGTATCGGGGGAGAGTATCAGAGCATTTGGGGAGAGTATGGGGATCAAATGCATCCCTAATAAAAACTTCTTTAAACTCGAGCTTCATTCAACTTTTTTTTATGGAACCACAAACTTCAGCCCTCCTATAAGGTTTTAATAGAGGTGAAACACTGCGATTCTTGACTGCATTAGACATAAATGGTTAATTTCAGTCTGTAGCAGAAGTTCAGAGGGCAATAAATCTACTCTAAGACTGATAAGGAAATGCTTCTAATGCATAGTGTGGGATCTGTGACTAGAGGATCCTGAACTCTGACTTCAGTCCTTCTATACTGGAAACTTCACAATTTAGTTTTCCTAATATTTTGCTAGTGCTGCACTGCCGACAGGCTGCTTTGCCTTTTGCACAGCAAGAAAATGCTCCCCTATTATGGGTATCGCATGTGCAATTTGGTCTTGCCCATAAACCAGGGGGTACTGCCCATAAACCAACTCAAAGACCAAGAAACACTAACCCATCAGTCTGTAGATCACACTGAAGTTGAAATGTGCTTAATTTTAAACAATTTGCAGAGCTCCTTCAATACCTTTGTCATTAAAATGGGGAACATGTTTTTGTGAACATGTGAATTTACTCCTATGCAATAAGCTTTGATTATGTTTTTTTTTTTTTTTTTTTTTTTTTTTTTTTTTTTTTTTTTTTTTTTTTTTTTTTTTTTTTTTTTTTTTTTTTTTTTTTTTTTTTTTTTTTTTTTTTTTTTTAAAAGGGACCACCTTTGGATATCGGATAGCATAGTCAAGAACCACCAAACTGTATTGCTGTCCCGCAGCTGACTTGTCAAAGGGACCCACCAAGTCATAAAAAGATTGTGATTCAAAGCAAAATGGGGGAACTGCACATACACCCCATGTTTCTGTGGCTTACTATTTAACACTGTGACCTAGCCCTTGGAGGGCGATCAGATTAGTGTTTCTAATCTGAGCACTAAGAAAATTTTCTCTGGAGGCCTCCAGGTCTGGTTCAGAGAAGGCCTTAGCTTTGAAGCGGACAAACACCGCCAGTGGACCCGAATCAAACTCTGCACGTTTACATTTCTCCTTATGCAGATCAAGCTTATTCTTAAACTGAAGTGTGACAGTTTTTTTAGCAGAACATTCCTCCTCATTAGGGGCTGGGGCAGTCTCATCTGATAAACAGGTCATGTTGCATCTCTGGCATCTTAGGGAGACAGTTCCCACTGGGCTGGGCCACAGTAATCATACACATCGCTGTGAACACAGATGACACCCACCTGTTCTCCAGGAACCAGTTTTCCCTGCAAACTGTCATTTTGGAGAAGAGTAAAGACACTCCCAGAATCAAGGAGTGCAATGATCTCCTGACCAATAACCCGCACTACACACTTGCGCGGATTTACAATTTTAGCAGTGCATGCCACCCATGTATACACGGAGCGCCATTTGGCCAAGTCACATTCCCACTGTTTGTCTTGCTTTGGGCACTGGGCCAGCAGATGACCCAGTTGGTGGAGGTACAGCAACGAATTTCAAAACGTTCTCCATTAACCCACCTGTTCTCAGGAGGGTTAGGTGATGGGGTGCCATTAGTGGGAGTCTTACACCCAGGGATAAAATAGTGCAGTCACCTGCTGGCATCATTGTGCCACAGTGAACCGCAAAGCTGCTCTGGTGCAACTCTTGATGAAGGCCCCCTAAGAAGACAACATACAAAACAGTGCAGGATGACCCACCCCAAGCCTTAGCTGTCTCAGCACTTCAGCTTACAGCCAGTCTTTGAGCAGATGCATCAGGCTATAGAGCTACACAGACAGGTTTAACCTCATCAAAGCACCAGGCACGGACACAGCTGGCCCTCATGCTAAGAGTCACTCACAGCCTGGGCAATATTTCAGGCTTCAACACCTTAAAGTCACGTGCTGATTCCAGGACCAAGTCCAACCATGCCTACTGGGGATCTGCAATCAGAATACGAGCCAGCAAATCCGCCCACTCCATCTCAGACTGTCCTTGTCTAGTGGCAGCCTTATTAAAAATGCATCAGACATGCTTAAATGATAGCTGGCGAATATATTTCCATTATCGTTTGTATGACATTCACCAATTCATATCGGGACATTGTTTAACTAGCACTATCAAAAACAACAGTACATGCATAAGGAAAAGGCTTATCCTAACCCCTCTTACCGTAAAATAGAACTGCTCTGTTTCTTGTTGGTTGGCACGCCTCTTCGCTATACTTGGTTTGCTCATGTAGGTCTCAGACACGGTTGACTTCACAGATTCCATTGAGTTGCTGTATTGGAAGCAGTCTGACACATCAAAGTCGTCCACACTCACCATATCTTGAATGGTCTGTAGCGTAGCTTCCATGGTTTTTTTTACCTTAAGTTAAAGAGAAAATGTAAAAAAAAATGTTAAACTATTCAGAACTGTCTACCTTACCAAGTACATTATGCAAGGTGAACAAAATCGGGCCCCATAAAGACATAAAAATATTCATACAAAAGTACTTCTACTAGGTTCACACTAGGGCCATCCGTGACAATGCGGCAATCCTGCACGAAACGGCACGTTACGTGTTGCAAAAAAAAAAAGGTACATATACCTCTCTTTCAGCGACTGCTGTGCAGATATAGCCCCATTGGACTCAATAGGGTCGCCCAGCAATCGCTGTGTGCAATCACTAGTCCTGGGATCGCAGATATCTGAAACTAGCCTTAAGATTTTAAAACCTTCAATATATCCAATAAAATTAATAAATGACATGTGATACAGACTAGCAATAGCATTAACACATCTGTGCTTGCTCTAATGGGCCGGCACAGCTGGCTCTGCCTCTAGAAAAGCAGAGCCAGCTGTCACTCAGGTGGCGGGGTGGATCCCGACAATATTGCTCGGAACTTTAGCGGCCGCAGCGCAGCTTGCGCTGTCATATACCCAGCTATATGACAGGGCTTTGGGTTACAGGAGGACACAGTAAATGTGCTCCTGTGACCCTAAACAGAACTATGGCCAACAAAGGTTGGGCCATAGTTCTCTTTTAATCTGTCATTGTACTTCGATACTGAAAACGGTAACCGTTTTAGCTACCGAAAACTGGTTGATTATGGTAGGGCAACATTATTTCCCATCAGGTCTAAAAATTACTTTCCACATTCTTGTATGTAGCAAGTGACTCAGAAAATACTGAAAACAGAAGGCCAATCAAAATAACAATCTTTAGTCCCCTGACCCCACACACATACAACTGAGAACATGCATCGGATGTGCCTAAAATGTTGTGCGAAAATGTCGAAGGCCAGTGTGGCATCTAGGCAAATAACATTAATAAAGAAAACTCTGTACTTTCAAAAAGGTCTTTAAAAAAAAGTCTTGCCATCTGTACAAACACGCCATACCTCTTCATTTTCTATCTCCAGAGTAGACAAACGGCACTGGAGCTGCTGACACCTTTGTGCCAACTCTCCTTGTAAAGGTTGCTGCACACAGAGCTGGGATATCTAAAAGAAAGAAAGTAGGACTGGTCATTGGTTAAGGCAGTCATGAGTTGCTGTGCCGAGTCCATTAAGGGGCATACGAAGTCAAAGACCTTTAGGTTACACTGCTGCCTACAGGATTGCACACACTGAAAAACAAAACAAACTATAGGCCAGCCCAGGGTATAACTCCTTGTACTATTAGCATCCATCAGTTTTGTAGCAAAGCAGTACCAAGAGCATGATCAAAACAGAAGGCTGGGAAATGTGGCCCTCAAAAAGGACTCCAAGAAAAGACATAGGGTTTTTAACTTGTGGAAATCCTTTTCCTGGAGTAGAGTATAGGACACAGGCACCTTAAATCAGTCTGGGATATATGCAGCCACCTTCAGATGACTGGACGCTGGCAAACAGAATTGTGGGACAGCCCAAAAACCCCTCCCATTCTCAGAAATCCTCAGTTTTGTAGCAAGCAATGAGAGGAAAACTGCCAGCACAGAGTAGAGGGTGTCCCTTACTGTACACCAAGAAAAGGATTTTACAGAAAAGTTTTAAAAAATCCAATTTTCTTAGTTGTACAGTAGAGGACACAGACTTCTTAAATCGCATACTCTGGGTCGCAATCCAACTGAGGGGTGGGCAACACTCCAAACTCAAAGAGCAGCCTGAAGTTCCGTACAGTCAAAGCTGGTGTTAGCAGAGGCCTGAACATTCACCCAGGAAAATATAACAAACGTATGGAGCCAGCAACGGGTGGTGGCCTTGAAAACTTGAAAAAACATGTCTGGTGCTGAAATGGCACTAATAAACCTAGTCGAGTGAGCCTTAAATGGAAAGGGATGATCCCTATCCTTTAAGGATTAGATTTAGTGATGACCGGCTGAAGCCATCTAGCAATGGTGGAATGAGATGCAGCATGCCTCTTGTATGAGCCCTCATACAAGATGAAAAAAGTTGTCCGATTGACGGATAGAGACAGTGAATGAAATGGTGACCAAGGTAGTTGCGCTAGGATATATGAAAAAATCAGGAACCAAAATACAGAAAAAGAAAAAATATAATATCAAAAAATATAATATCAAAAAATGTGATCCAAAAGATTATAACCCAGCAGCAGCAATATCTATCGAGGTGATCAATTGTGAGCCAGTGTGCTGCGCTTGGTATTGTGATACGTGCTATATTTATACCACAAACGAAACCAATACAAGTGATCAAATCCTACTTGCAACTAAATGCAATGGTACACTTTACCTACCTGCACCCCATTCACACTGCAGGGAATCTCTTTGGAAAGCTTCAGAGCTGGGCAAAGAGAAGGCAGGATAATGTCCTCATTAAGGTGCAAGGAGGAAACTACCTTGTGAAGGCCTAACAGCTGTACAATGTTTTCCTATAAAAAAAAAGTGAGTGAAAGCTGGGATAGCTTTCACGCACCCCCTACTGGCCATCCCAGGCTCTGCTGTCCCCCATGTGGACCTGGGACAGCAGCCCTCTGATCACTGAACCCCAAAGCAATACATATTACATCACTTTCAGTCTGTCATTTTGCAGGCTGTTGCAGCTCGAGAAGAAGCTGTGAAGCACGATCTCTGCTTCAATAGGTTCTTTAGAGTCCCTAGGTAACATTAGGGGTCTAATAGAACCCTGATGTCACCATAAAAAGGGCCTGTCACTGTAGTCATATATATATATATATATGCTCCTGTGACCCTAAACAGAACTATGGCCAACAAAGGTTGGGCTATAGTTCTCTTTTAATCTGTCATTGTACTTCGATACTAAAAACAGTAACCGTTTTAGCTACCGAAAACTGGTTGATTATGGAAGGTCAACATTATTTCCCATCAGAAGGTCTAAAAATTACTTTCCACATTCTTGTATGTAGCAAGTGACTCAGAAAATACTGAAAACAGAAGGCCAATCAAAATAACAATCTTTAGTCCCCTGACCCCACACACATACAACTGAGAACATGCATCGGATGTGCCTAAAATGTTGTGCGAAAATGTCAATTGCATCACACGTTGCATATCACCATTAATGTCGGAAGGCGAGTAATAATTCTACGACCATAAATCACTGTTAACACTAAACTGATGAGGGGTAAAAGCTTTTAACCATTTTGCTGTCAAGGCCTTTGTTTGTTTTCATTTTTTGCACATTATATAATCCACATTTTAGGCCTGAAAATTACTTCAAACCCCTAACCGTATATATTTTCTAAAGGCCAACCCTGTAGAATAAAAAATGGTGGCAGCTGCAAATTTTTATGTTGCATGATATTGGCGCAACTCTTTATCAAACCAAAAATGTAATGAAAAATGCACCTGTTAATTTTAGTGCCCCAGAACACAAAACAACCACTTTTTTTTAATGTAAAATAAAAAAAGATGGAAGGTTACAAGTAAATAGATACCCAACATGCCCAGGTTAAAAATTGTGTGCATCCGCAAAACAGCGACAAAATTCAGTACCCCAAAAAGTCCATAGAGGATGCTTTAAAAACCCCTAGAGGTCATTAGTTTAGAGATATGCGTAAATATCGGCACTAGAATTATTGCTCTCACTCTGGTGTGTGCAGCGATACCAAACCCGATCGTTTTGGTACATAGGCGCACCCGAAGCATGTATGCACGAATGCGTGTGCTCAGGACATTAACATTTAAAAAAAATAATTTTTACATTTTATTCTATATTTTTTTTAAATCTTACTTTGTCATCAAAAAGGGGGGTTTACAAGCCCTTCATGTGATCGCATATTGGTAGTGACTGGTCCTCTAAGGTGATACTGGGGGTCCAAAAGACTTTCAGCTTTAAATAAGCTATTGAATGCAGCTTTAGAAGCAATCTGGTGGCAGCTGAGCCGCCAGAATCGCCTCTATAGTAAAGCTAGTATACTAGCCTCCTCCCGTGACCCAAAGCTCAGATGGCCCGCGATATACTGCAAGCGCCGCAGCCGGATCCCAACAATACTGTTGAGATTTACTCAGCTTCATGAGTGACAGCTGGCTCTGCCTATCTAGAGGCAGAGCCGGCTGTGCCTGCCCCCTCCCCCGTTGGTTCCTCCACTCAGCGCTGGAGGATCGGAGAGGGGGGAATCCCTGCGGGGAGCAGTGACCGACAGTCACCGCTCACTGCAGGGAGACTATAAGGAAGTGAGCGAATCGGCTGCATGTTTCTGCTCACTTACCGATTGATAGAAGCTGTCACAGGTCGGTTCTGAGTGGAAACACTCACCTCATAGATCACCTTTAAGTTTATTGCAATTTCAAGATGCACAAAAATGTAAGGCTTGGCATGTTTGGTATCTATATACCCAGGTGGATGTTCAGGCCTCTGCTAACACCAGTTTTGGCTGTAGAGTACTTCAGGCTGCTCTTTGAGTTTGGAAATGTTTACTTGTTGGTTCTTCTGGGACTGTTTCTTGTTTGGTGTGCTGCCCACCTCTCAGTTGTATTGCAAACCAGGGTGTGTGATTAAGAAGCCCGTGTCCACTACTGTACAACTAAGATGCCTAGGCTTCTTCTACTAGGGCAGTACTCATCGCTAGTACTGTCATTTATAAAGTTATCTAAAACACCACCAAAGAGATGTTAACCATCAAAAGACATGTGCAGCAATTGTATTTTACACTGTTGTTCTGAATACCAACATTTTAACCAGTGAGTTCACCACATAGTACAGGAGATAATTTGGGAAATAAATCAGGCAATATCAACTAACCAGTCTACACAATAACGTAGGGTGGCAGGCATAAGCACTAAGCACTCTACAATTACATAACAGTAAGAATAGTAGTTGCATATGGAGACAAACTGAAGGGAATTTATCAAAACTGGAGCAGTCAAAATCTGGAGCAGCTGTGCAGGAAAACCAATCAGCTTCTCTCTTTCATTTTTAAATCTTAACTGAACAATTTGGAGAAACTGATTGGTTGCCATGCACAGATGTTCCAGATTTTGTCTGCTCCAGTTTTGATACATTCCCCCCACTGTATGTTTGTCCCCTAAGGCTTGACAGACTGACCCTTTTTGGTCTTGTCCCCTAAGATTTGATAGACCACATCAAAGCCTGCTAGCGAAAACAAAGATTTTGCGACAGTGCATTTAGCAGCGAGAGGTCTGCTTTGCGGAAACATCAGGGATCTACATCTCTCAGGAACTTTTTCAGGAAAAAAGTAGAGACCGATATTGAAAGTTTAAAAGGCCAAAAAGTGCTCAGAGCAGAGCCCTTCAAGGATCGCAACACAGAGGATCGTCAAACATACTCCCCTCAACGTTGGAGCATCCCCGGCCTGCTTGGCATTACACCGAGTGTAACTCGGGCTCAGAATTGCATGTAAATATGGTTACCGCAAGGCTTGTAGTTAACCGTACTTGCAAGATGAAGCAACTCTTGGGGATAATGCTAAGGAGATGAAATAAAGCAGGTTGCAGGCGCAAGCTGCCTAAGGAGTTACTAATCACTGGAACCCAATCTGAAAATACTGATTCTAATTTCATGGATTTGAAGTGGTACGTGAACAGAGGGGTGTACTTACATCTTCCAAGGACAAATTTGTTTTTTTGTTAATTTAGATTATGATAATCAATATGCCATTTCAAGGACATCACTTTAATTGTAGGCATTGTTTGAATTAAATCGAATGTTTGCCTGTTCAAATATGTTGAAAGTCAATTTCCATAGAGGGTACATACTTTTCATGTTTTATGTATGTAATGGATGATGCAATAAAGACAATACTTACTGTATCCCCCATGTGTGGATGAAACTCAAACTTCGTAGGAGGGCAAAAAACATTGTTGGAGGTTTCCATGAGACGTTGCTTGTCAGCAGTTGCATCAAGATTTTCTGTTGCATTCTCCAGGGTCTCCAGTCCCTCTTGCTTGGAGTGCTGCAGGTTGAACTCAGCAGAGAGGAAAGTACGCAGGGCACGATGCAAACTTGAATGGTAGCCTAGATCACAGCACTTTAAAAGTATAGGCAAGCACACAAGTTATAAAATTGGCTAATTTCTAGAATATACTGACAACTTTATTTTGGTGTATGCATAATTTTTGTACATAATTTAACTCTTACCAAATATTAGAGACACTGCAAAAAGCAAGCATCGCCTAAGGAGACCACATAGAATTGACATGTCCATAGAAAAGTGTGCCCAATCCTAGAACAGCTAATTTGGAATGTTGTGTTTAAAGTTAGAGTGGACCTTAACCCCCTTTCACTAAAAATCCCTTCAGCATGCAGCTCTGCAACATATTTTTTTCATTTACTTACAAATGCAGTTTATCCACTTTCTGGTCCTCTTGGGCACATGTGATGTAATTGTGCCCAGGCATTGCATCCTAGAAAGATTACATCAGCAGAGCATTGCTGGGAAATCTCATATGTAATCTCATGAAATCTCTGGGAAAGGCATTTTCCTCCCCTGAGATGTGCATGGTCACATGTCCTAGTCACATGTGCCAGAGTTCCAGGAAGTAAAGATACAGTAACCTGCCCTTTGTAAAATGGCCACTGTAAGAAATCGGGAAGAAAAGAGAAAGGTATGCAAAGAATACAGAGCCTGCAATTATCTGGAAGTATGTGTTTGTAGATTGTCATTACTAAACATGTCATTACTAAACATTTCTAAAAGGTGCCTTTGTGGTTATTTTAAAGATATGGGTAAAGTTTCTCTTCAAGTGTAAATAGGTTATTGTAGTGTTTTACTGTTGTGGCCAAAAGTATTGCTATACCAATTTTCCCAAAGAATCCCTTTTTTTTTCTTTTAAATCAACACAAGTAAATGGCAGTCACCATACTTTATTATAAAGCCCACTCAACAGACAACATCCTTTGAATTAGGACTAAACATATTTTAACAAATACATTGCCCCCACACTGTGTGTGCATAATTATGTGTCCGCCCTTACTGTGTCAGTTCTGATGTCATTCACGTGCGCCCGCTCGTCAGCCTGACACTGACAAACTGCACAACTGCCGTGACACTGACCCAGTGCTTGTCTACCCTGAAATGGCTGTAAGGGTATGTGTGCGTGTCTCTACCCACCCAGACGCTAGGTTTTTGTGAGTCTGCCCTGGGAAAGTGTGTGTGTGTGTGTGTGCACTCATTATCCTTTGCATGCTGTATGTCCCGTAACACTGTGTATAGACCATGATACTGTAGGAGAACCATGACTGTGTACATCTGCCCTGAAGTTGTCTGCCCATCTTCTGATACTGTCTGCATGTGCACACCTGTCCTGACATAGTATCATTGTGCGAGTCTGTCCTGACGCAGTGTGTCTACCCGGGCATTGTCCATATGCATGTCTCTGCCCTGACACAGTGTGTGTATTTGTCCTCTCTGACACTAGGTGTGTATGTCTTCCTGACACAGTCTCAACCCTGATGCTGTCTTTGCATCGGCCCTGATATTGTGTGTGCCTGCCCTGATGCTGACATGGTGTGCATTTGCCCTGACACTGTGTGTTTATATCTCTCCTGACAGAGTGTGCATGTGTCTAACCCGACACTGTCTGCCTCTGTCCTGACACCGTAAGTGCGCATCTGCCCCGACACTAGGGGTGTACGCATCTGCCCTGATGCCGTCTATGTGTGCGCATCTGGCTTGGTGCTTTGCATGTGCGCATCTGTCCACGACACTGCGGGAGCATGCGCCTGCCCTAAAACTGTCTTTGTTCTAACACTGTGTGTGTGTGCTCCGACACGGTGTCTGACATTATGTGGGTGTTTTCCTGCCCTGTTGCATGTGTCTGCCCTAAAAACTAGGTTTGTGCATGTCTGCTCTGACATTGCGTCTCTACACATCTGCGATGTTTGTGCGTGGTTACCCTGCAGCTGTATGTGTACATGCGTCTGCTCTGATAGCGTAAGTGTTTTGCTTGGCACGGGTGCTCATAGTGACAGCGAATGGTGCTACCAGACAACTGTAGATAGATGTCACCAGCACACCAGAATCATTTGAAATCCAAAGTGTTAATTGACAGAAACTTAATTTCACCAGAACAACAGAGTGGTGGTCCTGACACTAACACGGAGTGAGGGGGCTCATCTGCCCTGAGGCCGTTTATGCACCTGATACAGGGCTCCTGCCCTGATGTTATATGAGAACGTCTGTCCTGACGCAGTATGTGCATGTCTGTCCTGATGTGTGTGCTCATCGGCTCTGAGGCGAGCATCTGTCTGACGTAGCATGCATCCATCTGCCCTGTTGTGTTTACTCCAGCCCTAATGCGTCACTTCCGGTCCCATAGAATAGGGTGGAGATCGGTGAACGGACGTTCGCCACTCTCCTCCTCAGCCGACACCAGAGATGCCGGACTTTTAAGCTTCAGTACAATAAATGTGGATAACCAGAAAACGCTCTAAACCACCAACTCAGTAACATGCATGGCAGAAGTGATGGTGACAAGGAAGACAACCTTGCAAGTGACTAGGGTCACACCAAGGGCGGGGGGGGCTGGTATGCAGGTAACTCCATGCACACAGGTCACCAAGGAGGAGACAGCAAAATCACCAAGGCAGAAATGTGGCCCTTGATAGTATTCAAGGCTAAATGCCGATCTAGTCTAGACTAGAGGAAACATAGTGGGATGCATCAAGTGAAAATTTTTGGGATTAATCTTCCTCACTGTGCACCAAGTGCAATGGTAGACTTTACAGGAGGATGACTTCCTAGCCTTTAGAAACAGGGATAACAGCCTCCAAGAGGTCTCTGTCTTTAAAGACCTGAGCTTCAACAGCCAGGTGGTTAAAAGCAGCCACCAAGAAGTCGGGTGGATACTGTTCCTTGGGACACTAGGCCTGAATGATCCAGAAGTGCCCATGTAGAGTCTGCAAGTAGCTTAACTACAACAACTACAATCTCCTGGGCCAGTTGGAAGCAATGAGGATCACCAGAATGCACTCCATTTCGATCCTGCAAAGGAGGAGAGGCAGGATTTCCAGAGGAAGGAAAGCATAGATCCGGCTGAACGTATCCTGCACCCACAGCAACAACACAGGGATAAAAAAATATGCATCCCTGATATCCACTGATTCCAGAGAATATCCCAGGTAAGAAAGAAAGATGACAGAGCAGGGAGATTCCATTCAGAATTTATGGACCCGTAGGAACACATGCAGGATCGTCAGATTGAGAATAGGATAGATTCCCCCCTCCCCATTTCTTTGCATTGTGGACAGTGAAAAATGTTGGAGTGAATCCCCTGGGACTTTTCCTCCTAAACAGGGACTATGACCCCCTTGAAAAGGAGCTGATCTTATTGGTAATTTGACAACAGAAACAAGGAGAAGGCAAAGAGTGAAATTTCAGCTTATAACCCTTTGCCAGGTTGCTCTGAATCCAAGCATCAAGAATATTCTGGATCCAGGGGGCAGAGAAGGCCAACACACATCCCCCCACTTTAGAATTGGGGACACCCCTTCATAATAAAGAAGGCTTGTTCCCAGACTTCGTGGACTTGGATGGCCAGGACATATGACAAAAATTGAGAGCCCAGGTTAGATTTAGAACCAGAGGCTTGGGAAGGTGGCAAAAGGAACCCTTTTTGAAGGAGGGAACAGAGGATTCAGCTACTAGAGGCTTTTGTGGTTAGAAGGTGGTCCTGCCCCTCGTTATTTCCTAGATAAAAGGTATTCAAGGATTCCCCAGGGAGTGAAGAGGAGAAGCAGCACAGCATAGGGCTAGTAGTATGCCCTCAGAAGGGACTGAACCATTGTTAAGCTGTGAGGCCCCAGAGCCTGATCCCCACACCTCCCCCAGGTCTATGATGCACCATTGCTTGAGAATAAGACCCCAGTATTCACGAAGGTGAAGGATGCCTGGGGAGCAAGCACATTAGGCAGCAGCAGTAAATCATCACAGCAGTTGGTAAAAATCCAGACTCCCTCAGTATGCAGAGTTGCAGGAACAGCCTGTGTAGCTAGGTCAGCATGTGTCAAAGGTAAAATGGCAGGCGCATGTGCAATAGAAACACCAGAGAGTTTGTTAAAAACAGCAGACTGTAATTTGTGTAGCTAGTTTTGAATCTTAGAAAACAAAATCATAACCTAAAGTTACTAGAAGAGGAGATACCAAGAAGCTGCTGCTAGGTTGCATACTACATGTAACAAACTGTCTAAACTATGCAGCACAGATAATCTTCAAAAGTATCATTTCATAGTCGTGGTTCTAGAGTTTCAACACAATCAACCATCACGCTACAGTCTTGCTGGCTAAAACATTCTCACCATTGTTCTGTTGCAGATAAATGTTATTTACAGTATAGCCAAGTTCAATCATAGTGCACATATAATAATAATAATAATAATAATAAAAAAACAGGATTTATATAGTGCCAACAGTTTGGAGGTGAAAATTTCCCAGTTGGGTCAAGAATAATTTGCATTTGCATTGCATCTAAAACAAAAAAACATAGCAAAGACATGGATTCTTACATCAATCAGGTCAGACATGTCATGAATGTAGTACTTGAAGACAGATGCGTTGGTCGCTTCAAGAGCCAATACATACTCATTTCGTGCTTTAATGGCCTTCACTTTGTTCTCTGTGTATTTGGCCTGTCGCTAGAGAGACAAAACAACTGAATCAAAACCATGGACCACATGGAATTAGGAGAAAACAAGAATCAATATTGGAGATAAAGTCTAATGGTCTATTCACACCAATTGAAGTGTGTTCCAGAGCAGTAGCTGCTGAAACGCACAGTAAAATCGCTCACTAAACTTCCCCCTTCGTTCTTTGGCGGGAGGGGGCGTGGCGGTGCATTGAAGTCAATGGCCCTCCGAGTGATCAGGCGCGTGGCAAAATATTGCCTGCCTGTCTACTGGGAACACAAAAAATAGAGCATGCAGCATTTTTTGCGTTCGCAGTGGACCGGAACACAGACAATATTTTGCCACGTGACCGATTACACTGCGAGCGAGCGCGGGGGGCGTAGCTGCGGTGCTATTGACTTCAATGCACCACCACTCCCCCACCTGCCCCAGAATAAAGGGGGAAGTTTAGTAAGCAATTGCTGTGCGTTCCAGCAGCTAGGGCTCCAGAATGCACCATAATTGGTGTGAATGGGCCCTTAGGCAGTGCATTTTTACCGCAATTTGGGACTGTCTTGGACAATCACTTCACCTGTTTCTTAGGCCCTAAGAGGCTCTCTAGATAACACGCACCTTTCTGCACTTTTGCTTTTACAGTGCTGGCCTGCACATCTGCCCCTCCTTCCTGGGGAACCCTGGGGAGCTGCTTACAGCACTTCGGCCTCCGGCGAGACCCACCGGACCCCTGCCGAGTCCCTATATAGCTCTGCTGAGGCCCTCCGGACTCCTGCTGTTGAGACCCTCCTGAGACCTTGGAGGCATCAGGTTGACACCATGGAGCAGCACAGAGTATGTAGCATCATATTCTGCATTGCTGTACAATTTATTGCTGGTATTTTTAGTCCTCCATAGCCAGTTGCCATTCGGCATTGCTGTATATTGTATTGCTAGGATTCGTAGTCATCTCTAGCTGATGGTGGTATTCTGCATGGCTGTATAATGTATTGCTAAGATTTGTCAACCCTTTACAGCTTGGAGTCAGTGGCAGACCTACAAAAGGGGACTGCAGCTGGGACTGGTCACTTGCACTTTACCACTGTCCTAAAATAATCAGTGTATGGTTTTCAAATATCTGTCAGGACAAAAAAAAAAAAAAGTATCTGTATTTGGTATCGGTATGTACTTGAGGAAAAGTATCGGTACTCGTACTCGTCTTGAAAATGGTATCGGTGCATCCCTATCTAGTACATTAGCGCTTTGCTCTAGGACCCATCATGACTAACACATGGGCACACAAATATATTAGAGAGTGGCCTCCCATAAAGAACAAGGCCTCAATTCTACAGTTAAATGGAGAAAGACCTTCCAACATTACTTTCAAAATATAGATGATGTTCTTTTTAAACAGGAGAGTCAGTTTCCTCCTTCATATAATCTTCCCTTTCTTCATAAAACACTACCCAGTTTTTCTTAGCTCAGATAAGACAAAGGGGGTAGCTATTTGCTTTGATAAAACGATCTCTCAATTTGATACACAAAGTCAAGGCCCTTGAGGGTCGTTATTACTGAAGGGTCATATTGAAGCAGTGGCGTAACCATTAGCGTATCTTCTCAGAAGCTGCACACAGCGTGCGCCGGTTTTAGTAACCAGCACGCGCTGTATGCAGCTTCTAACAGCATGGGAGACGGGAGGCTGCGCTTGTTGGATCCAGGAATCAGCTGATTAGTATTTAGGTCTCCCCACCCCCCAATGACAGTAC